TCGTGGTGGCATTCACGCAGACAAAGAAACAGTTATAAGCGAGGCAATACTAAAGGATACGGAAGAGCCTCTGAAGTAAAGCCAGAAAACGGGAAGAGTTTTCAAGAAGAGAGACATGGAAGCGATTTTATGCGCAGGCCTTTGTTGATCGCAGGTTATGTCTAGATTCCGTCTTCGTTTACGTGTCATAGTATCTAAACACAAAAAAAAGCGTCCAGCTTAAGCAAGACACAACTTCGACCCCTAAAAAACCTTAGTGCCAACTCACGTCTTGGCACTAAATATATATGGTGAGAAAGATTCAGGGCGTACTCTTTTTAATCTACTCCTATTTTCTACCTTGCTTATTACGACCGGCCTGAATCGTAGCTAGGTGATAATCCTGTTTCAGGAAATTAAGTTACGAAGTGAATAAATTGGGCGTCATTTCAGGGCCTCTTTTTTTTTTGCGATCATCGTGGTTTACACGTGCTTCAAAAGTTCTTCTCCTGGTGGGGTCTTCCGTACGTTATCTCTATTCCTATGCAAAACAGCATGTGCGTGCCGACACATAACCCACGAAAAGATGTCTGAATTTCGATGAAGAACTTTCCCTTTACCCTACGATAATCATTAAACATAAGTATGGAGGCGCATATAGTGTCGTCAAGACAAGTAAAAGTGGTGAAGTTGCCCCACCGCGGTGGTCTCGTGGCTAAGGTACTCGGCTGCTGACCCGCAAGTCGCGGGATCGAATCCCGGCTGCGGCGGCTGCATTTCCGATGGAGGCGGAAAATGTTATAGGCCCGTGTTCTCAGATTTGGGTGCACGTTAAAGAACCCCGGGTGGTCGAAATTCCCGGAGCGCTCCACTATGGCGTCTCTCATAATCATATGGTGGTTTTGGGACGTTAAACCCCGCATATCAATCAATCAAAATCGGTGAAGTTTATACGCGTACGCCCCACACGAACGAAACATGGATGCTGAATCCCCGTCGTCAGCTAGAAATATCGCACAGTCATCTATGAATTCCGGCACACGCGCTAAGAAAAGAAGTGAGCATATCGACACATTAACACAAGAAGCACAAGATGCAAAAGTTAGAAGAGGGGGTATTGAAAGGGCGATGATGTGCACAACAAATATTAGCAAAAGACGGAAGCCCAGTCGAGTCCCCAACACAAGAAAACAGTGACAAACGCGTGAAGACCTTCGTTACCGCATACAGCTGACTGGAGAGTGCTGTCCCACGTAGCGTGGTACGAAATGCTCGTAGCAGGACTAAAGAGGCGCGTCGCTATTTCGCTCGTTGAGTAAGCAGCAAGCGTCACTGCCGAATCCAGATGCCTGTACCATTCGATGACCGCAGTGTGATTGTGAGCGGGCTGTGGGGGCCTCGCGAGAACTCATTTCCTTTAGCCTCTTTCGCCGGTGACTAATGTGCGGTCTGACGAACAAGCCATGGGGATAAAGAGAGAGAGGGGGGAATTAGGTACTAGATGAAACCGGAGGAAATGAACGCCACGAACGGCGGGAAAGATGCGGCGAATGTGCATACGGATCACCTCGCTCGAAGCGAGAACAAGCCTGATCAGGGCGACAGACAGACAGCGGTGCCTAGAAGGGAAGACAAAAATTTCGCCGTGGAGGAGTTGGTAATGGAGCCAACGGGAAACACGGCCAGACCTCGCGGTGAGAACGAGAGGCGAATGAGACGGCCGAGGGAAAAAGAGAGCGGCTGAGGAAAAGCATCGAGGAACGGTTCGTAGTTAATGGCCGATGAGACAGAATGCGACGAGACGTCATCACTCACGCGGTCGCGACTGCTGCAGCACGGCTTGGTCGTGAGCCCGAAATTGTGCCTCCTGGCGTCTTTCGTTTTCAGGCCGTTGATCGATTGAACAAGATCGCAGGAAGCCGCTCGTTCCACTGTAAGGTGCCTCTTCCGATCAAGAAGAAGAGGCGCCCGCGAGCTTTGTGTGCACTTGCGGTGATCCGTGAAAGCCAAAGGACCTCATCACGTATAAACCGCTGACGTGAACAAAGAATACTTGAAAAAGAAGGCAACAGCTCGCTCAATGCTTTTGTTTCAAGGGGACACGAAACAATGTGACACAAACAATGGATTGGTATAAATGAAATCCGTGAAATGCACAAACGCGTAGCTCTGACTTCAACAGTGTTGACTAAGTGACAATGGAATTTACCAGCACCCTATCACGCGCGCCCATGCGCAGTCATGAAACAACCTATACTTGACGACATAGAAATACTCAAAACTGATAAACATCCCGCTCTGTCTATAGCCATAAGTAGAGGTGCATCGTATTACGTATCTGACACACATATGCAGCATTGTCGTGACCTTCGGGGCTCATTTCCTATGCACTGTGACCTTGTAATGTGTGCATAAGGTATGTTTACTTCGGCACTTCTACGACGTGCCTGATTTATCCACTTGCGTAATTAAATATTAAATCTAGGAGTAAACGTTGTACCGTGAAACTTCACCCCCGTGGCGAAGTACTGCTGCGCAAATGCGCTTAATCGAACAATCTTGCAGGTCAGTTTTGCTGCGACATAACGTAAAGTGAGATTTACATGAGCATCATTACATCTGACGACCACGGGTTACGCAAGAAAGCCTACCGGTCCGCGAAAGCGCTTCTCGTTCGTAACGCCGGTAATGAAGTCGTATATTTATTAATATAATAGTTATTACCACAAGCCAGGTTTCTAAAAGTTGTGTACAATCCAATTATTTCTTACACGTCACGTTGCGAAGGTCGACTAACTTCTGCGGACTACTGGAGTTAATTTCTTGTCCGTTTCCGTTCGACAGCATGACCAAACACTGTGTTCCTCTGACTTTGATGACTAGTAATTCGTAGCATTTGCCCGTCGGTTCAAAGTGATTTCAAGGTTCTTTCACCTTGAATGATAACAAAAAAGATGGCAGAAAACACGTGATCTTATTCACAACCAATTCCGAGACACGAGTATTGGTAACTCGTTCCCAAAGAGCCTAGCCTCCGATTCCTCGAAGAATGGTCACGTTAAAGGTGAGTTAGAACTCCGGCTACGTTCGAAGCTCCATACTCGCTCCTCTTGAGGCCAAGTAAGGGCAATGAGGCGTGGTCTTGAAATAACAGCAATAATTGCACACACATTATCGCTCATTACAGTATTCCCATAAGATATGTGCTCGTCGTGCACCTACGTTCAGACGATGGCAGTTTCCGTCGAGTCAGTATCGCTAACTCAAGCCGATAATCAGTTTGTGCAGTAGTACAGAGGCGTCCCTTCAAGAGTCCATAAACTGTCTCTGAAAACACAAAGAACGGTCGCGTTATTCTCTGCTGGCGTTTCCTATCTTTTCGGCATAGCTCGTGTCGCGTGAAGTCTGTTCACGTGGCGTCACGTGGCAATGAGCTCTCGATCGGTCTATATGTATGCCAAATATCAGTTGCAAATCGTCTCGGACTGCTTCGCCATTCAGTCACATAGCCGTTCTGGCTTGTCTCGCATGTATATCGTACGCAATCAACTGATTTAACTTGATTTTGCGCGTTTTGGGCTGTGCGAACAGAGATAACAGGTTGTAGCCGATAAGCACGAAATCCCGGTCTACGTCAAACGCTTTGTGTTGACATTGACCAGGTGACTTATAAAAAATATGGGGCGAGTATGAGATAACACATGTAGAAACGGTAGTCATGGGTATGAACAAAACCGCTTTCAATTTTTTGAAAGCAATGTGGATGAACTCGATTTTTTTCAACGATGTTCCCGTCCTTTGCATCTCTCGACACGTCACACACTCGTTCACACACACCCATATATATATATATATATATATATATATATATATATATATATATTCGTATAGGAAAGAAGACGCACGTACGAAGTTATTTTATTGACGTTTCGGCCGTGGGTCCAGCCTTCATCAGAAGACCGGACCCATGGTTTCTGATGAAGGCCGGACCCACGGCCGAAACGTCAATAAAATAACTTCGTACGTGCGTCTCCTTTCCTATACGTATAATCTTTCCCGGACCCAGCATCACTTTTGTTTTTGGTATATATATATATATATATATATATATATATATATATATATATATATATATATATATATATATATATATATATATATATATATATATATATATTCTAAAATCATGGCAAACAAATGTGCACGAATGTGAAAGCGTCACGGTTGCTGGCGCTAAAAACATTCGCGCAAGAAATTCAAATATGTTTGTGCACTTGCGTGGCAATAAACCCTGTTATCCAGGTGCCCTGGTACTTATTGAGATGTTAGAAAATGCATTTTTTTTTCATGCTCTCAAATGCAGCACTGAACTAGTGTAGTCGAAATTTGGTGACGAGACACAGGCCGCGAAAGATCCTCTTCATCAGTAAATATTCATTTAGTTACAGTTTGCTTCGCGTTCCTCACTTCATGGCCTTTCTGAAGTTGGTCTAGTACTCAATTTTATGATGAAAGACGCAATTTACTTTCATTAGCAATTTAAAGCGGAGCATCTTACCTCTACCATACTCTCATGAAATCTTGAAGAACGTGGCACTGAATGAGACTGAGTGCCACTGCATAGATTTCCTGAAAGTAAGCCACTGGGTAGCGCGCAAACTCGCATATCATGCTCTATTTTACTTTGGTCTATGGCCTAATGTTTCACAGCATGTGTGTATGCATATGTATTCTTTCATTAATGTTTTCAGTTGATAGTTTGCGCTGGGTCTGTGTTTTTTCTGCACTTTTGTGCGTGATGTTTAGTGATGCCTTATTCGAGGTGCACCACCTGCTCACCTAGCGGACCACCCTTCAGAAGAGCCTGTGTCAAATTTCATGTTACCATTGTCAAGCATTTTAAGAACAAATGCCCAAAAGTACCTTCATAGCCGCTCTCTGACGCCACAGACTCTAGCAAGCGAAGTTTAGTCAACTAAGCTGACAAGAAGAAGAATAAACGCATGCATTCATCAACTCACGGGCTTCGTCGGCGTTCTCCTCGCCGAACTGCCGGACTGCGGCGGCGTGCATGACTCCGTAGTTGAGCTGCATGCCCCAGCTGAGGGCGTTGACGAGGCACACGCAGACGCACACCACCCAGCCCCAGCCGCCCTCTGGGTAGTAGTGTTGTCGGATAGCTGCCGCGATGCGTTGCTCGGCGCTGCTCAGCGGTCGCTGCGTGTCCGACCGGGACGGCGGTCTCTCGGGACGTCCGAAGCTGTCCGATCTTCCTTGATGAAGATGCTGACCTCCGGCGTCTTCACCCCCGGGTGCCGCGCACTCTCTTCTGTCACCCACGTCCTCGACTTCAGGCTCGGTCTCCACCTTTATCTCGTCGCAGTGCTCGGATTTGGCGGGAAAAGCGAGCGTTTTCGTCTCCGGGGCAACGACTGGCTTGGACGCGGTCGATGACGCGCTGGCCATGCTTCCTACAGTCTTCGTACCCATTTAACCAGGTACCGCCGGCGGAAGTGCTCTAAATTAACTTTAAAACTTCACGCCCGAACTTCACCGGCGTTTACTGGACATCCGTAGAGGCTTGTGCAAATTGGTCTGCTTCCGATGCAGCTCAGTTTAGACCAAGGCGACATGTCGACTCCGCCACAATGCGCTTTATTCACTCAACGGGTATTTTCAGGTGGCTGTCCATACGCTCGAATCAACGCAAAGCGTGTCGTCTTAGAGCCGGTGATGTTGGCAACGTGACGTTTTCTTATACTTGCGACGCATATGAAGCAGTTTGACGCTGGTGTGGGTAAAAACACTGTACGCCTGCGTTGGATTCACTTCACTAACGTACGGGTGCACACGATACAGTGGTTCCGTGACAGCGTTTCACATTCATCACTCGCACGTTGGTACAACGAATGAAATAGTCATGCGTAGTTTAGAACAGCAGTGCTGCGACGTCAGCTTCACATATTTGCCTACTAGTATTCTTGCTTTTAATTACTACAACGATGGTCGCTGTCTATTGTTACAAAAGCGTGTTATGACGTCACGACATAGCGCACGGACTAGTCTGAAAAACTAAACGTCACGGGATGATTACCAGATACCGCGCTTTTATTATGCGAAAGATTAGTTAGCTCGAACACAGTGACAAAGCATTTAAACGGCGGTGTGTCAGTTCATCGGCACCTTTCGGCGTGTCTTAAGTTTTCGCTTGTAGACGTACTTTACCTAATGCAATGTCAGATATATAACTGCAGCCAAGCATTTCTTGTACCTCTAACAGTGACCTAACAAAGAGTTGTCGACTATATTTTGCACTACATAGATATGGTGCCTGATAAAGTAGCGCACTTGCTGTATAAATAAATAAAATGTTCAGAGCAGATCCATTACAAGTGACAATAGTTTGCACCAGCACAGACACGTGGCGCTAATATACTAAGCTTTACAGCCTCAACAAAATCGTACGTCGTATACGTTTAACTGAAGCACCAAGAATATCTCACAATTTCTTCATGACGATCGCAGACTTGTCGCAAAAAAGGTAGTAAATGGCACTGAGGTTGCCAGACGCCCGTGTCAGTATGCATGTTACATCAAAACCTGCTTCTGAGTAATTCCTATATATACTTTATGAAAAATTAAACTTCCTGTGTTGTCAAGTTATCCAGGACACAAGCAAACCTAATAATTCAGTGTTGGCGCAGCGGGTAAAGTCTGGCAGGTCAAACCAGTTTCAATATATACAAAATGGTCTGCTCATAGAAATGCTTATGCTGTATTACAAGAACGTATGTCAATCATCTTGTCTGTCTTACGTGATAACATTAAAGCGGTACGCATTTGGAAAAAAGAAGTTAGCGGTCTTATAATCAGTAACACTGCTGACGCCCTACAGTTTAATTGGCAATAGTGTTGAAGTTCCGCACTGACTACAATTGATCCTGATCTTGTTTTTTCTATCCAGGTGTTGACGCGATGCATCGTTGCTTTGTTTGGTTTCAGCGTGTAGCTACGCCGGCAAAGGTATACCGTGCTGCTGACTGTATCACTGATTTTCTAACAGCAACGCTACATTTTAGCGAGTGACGGCGTGAGTGTTCGAATCATGGCTTAAAGTTTGATTTCCATGCACACTCAGTCACGTGAACTTGAGATGCGGTCATTTCCTCTGACAGGCAAATCAACTTTCTTGTCTTTGTGAGGCTGGTAATATATTTTTACAGTGACGTAGCCTTGCTAAGTCTGGCTTACTTGAAGCTGTTCCTTAATCTTGCTTGAGCTTGATGCTCTTAGCAGCGACAATGTGTACGAACACGCACACGTTTTAGGGTCGCGGTGACCATCGATGTCTGATTGTAGAAAATGTCGCTTATAGCAAATTCGGTTCCACAATATAATCGGTGAACAATCGGAAAGAGCAACAAACTGAAGCGTTGCGGATAAAAGATGCGCAACGCGACGCAGGCGCACACACTACTATCAGAGAGTAGCAAGTCACCTCGAAAAAAAAATGAGGACAAGTTACAGAGGTTCAAGGACAACAGCACCGGCGATCATCACACCTCTAATTGCAGTTTGGAGAAAGGCGCTTCAGCAGAGAGGTATCGTCTTTTCGCGAACACAGTTACAGGCACACAAACACAGATGGCAATAAACTTCAGAACTTGCACGGAACTTTATATCTTTAATCTTCAGGACTTTTCCGCAGTGCTCTTTTCATTTTGGGATAGCATGAAAGGGCAAACGGGTGCTCTTCATTGAAAGCTCACATTTCCTTGGAGATGCGGGAGCAACCACCTCAATCTCACACACGCGCAGGCAGGTTAAAGCCCGTCGAAGTTTATGCAGACGCCGACGAGACTACGGAAAATTCAGGAAATGCGTGGCTCGCCAGGTTGCCTCTATACCACGCTGCAGAAAAGAACACTTGTCTGTTGGACAAACGCAGCCGTCAGCTGCTGTATTGTTCCAGGCCTCAATCATCTCTCCAAGCCAGCTGCGCATCTGCTTTCTCGCTGGACAGTCGTACGCTTGCGTTCTTCCCTTCAAATATACTCGAACATTACAACAACGCGCAAGTTGCGGACCCGGCGTAAGCCATTCCACCTAGTGGCGACGTTTCGTAGGTAGTACGTACTTGGCGAACCAGCCGTATAGATGCGCTCGGCGTGCTCCTCTAACTTCGCCGGGACGCCGAAGAAGTCTCGAGCTGTTGTATACCCCTTTCGAGCGCCCCGTCCGGCTGGGCCGATCCTCTCGCGCCGCTGTCGGAGCGCAACTGATGTCGGCCGCAGCCGTTGCCTGCGCCGCGTTAGCTGCTCGGAGCCGCGGCAGTGTCGAGCTGCGCAAGCGCGTGCGCCTGCTACCGCGCCCGGCTCTGGACGGCCGCCGCTGCTGCTGCGCTGCTCGCCGCGTAGCACGTGGTTGGTCTCCCGCTTATACTATTATAGATGCGGATAGCATCAGCCGAACGTCGCGCGGTTTGTAGCGTTGTGGCGCGTATTGCACAGTGATGCCGATTCTCTCCCAAACTGCGTGGAATCGACAGCAGCAGGATGCACAACTCTGGAGAGCCGTCAGTTTGTTTTGATTGATTGATTGATTGATTGATTGATTAAATGATTAATTAATTGATTGATTGATTGATTGATTGATTGATTGAAGCATTGTGGTTATGATTGAAGCCATAGTGGAGGGACTCGGATTGACTTTGTGATGGAAATAATTTACGAGCATTCGCGAATCGGACTCGCGACATAGTTCTCGGTAGCAGGATATCCTATGTACTGTAAGCCACAGGGCTAATGACGTTTATCACTAGTATATATAGAGAGAAAGAAGCAGAAAAAGGCAGTGAGGTTAAGATGTACGTCCTGTTTGCTATTTAACACTGGGGACGTGCAATAAGGGAGTCACAATAAGTATGCTACAAAAGAATAAATGGCACAAAAGTGAGATTTGATTAGTTCACTTTGGCGGGTAGAATAGGTCATGGTTGAAGTGATGGCATCGTCACATAGCTTTTTTTCTGTCTTAATTCCAATCATTGACATCTCTTTTTCATTCTTCTTTATGAAACGCTATGAGACCCGTACCATGGCTGCAATTAGTGTATTGGACCCATTCCGAAAGTTGTCAACACTGGTTACGTCTGAAGAATGCCGCAAAAGAAGCTTTATGGACACGCTATAATAACGACAACAAAAATAAGTCCAATTTCGCAACGCAATCTTCTCCGAAGAGCCCTTTGTAAAAGCATGAGAGCCGGAGCGCCACTCAAACTTTGTCTCAAACCTCGGAAACTACGTTCTGCTTGCAATGACTGTGAACATACCAAAATTAATTTTCCTTTTTCGTCCTCGCAAGAAGATTTACTACACAAAGTGAGAAATTCCCTGCTTATTGATTAACTACACATTTCAATTTTACCGAGCAGCATATTACGGTTAACTTTCATGCACATGCATGTTTCTATGTAATATGTGACAGCCTCCAATTTTGCATTCTGAAGAAAGGTTCTCGTAACCTTTCTTCAGAATGCAAAGGTATATGTATTAAGGTAAGGTATATGTATATGTACGTAAGGTATATGTATTAGTGTGGGACAAGGAAAAGGAGACAAAACAGCACTATTGTTGTGGTCTTCCAATTTCCTATTCTTGTCTCCGCTGTTTAGTGTGACGATGTCCTACCAACTGTGCTACGTTTGAAAATACCGAGTGTACCCTGCAGACAGATAGGAAATTATATTTTCAGCAGCCAATTCATCCCTCCATCTGCAATTCCTCTAAAACTCGCCCCCCCCCCTTTCTCAGGCCTCTTATTGCGGCAATTACTATCCCGTGAACTTCTCCTTACTTTCTAAAGAGTTGGCAAAGTTATAGCAGCCGCACATATGCCGCCTCGGTGCATGTTAGCTACGTTGGCATGCCCCCAGGTTTGTGCCATGCCATTGCCCGTTTCCTGTTGCGTTTTCGTCTTTCTCACAGTATTCTTTGTGTGGTCTTTGCCTAGTGCTACTTCTTATTTCTACTCAGCGATTGGATGTAGCTATCCCTTGTTTCTGGTTTCCGGGAATAAGTCGGCGAGACGGACTGTCGTCAGTCCTCTATTGTGTGGCTGCGAGGTTCCGCGTGGATGTCATCTGAGCTTCAGCGTCAGCATCTACACGACGACAGTCACTCGGCTGCTTCATCATCGTTTTCACAAGAGAATCGTTCGGTTGTCCATTCATTTATAAACTCAACGTTGCCAGCATAACATGGGCTGACGATCAAATATTTGCGGGAACCGGAATACGTACTAACTTTGCGCGCTGCGGCTGGTGAGCTTCTCGACTTTCATCGGTTATATTGATGATAGAGTATATCATCTTTGTGTGTGTGTGTGTGTGTTTGAGAGAGAGAATGATTGAGTGAGTGTGTGTGTGTGTGCGTTTGTGTGTGTTTGTGAGGTATTTGTGTGTTTGTGTGCGTGTGCGTGTGCGTGCGTGCGTGCGTGCGCGCGCGCGCGCGCGCGCGTGTGTGTGTGTGTGTGTGTGTGTGTGTGTGTGTGTGTGTGTGTGTGTGTGTGTGTGTGTGTTATGACAAACGCGGGAAGGCGTGGTGCATT